TTTATTTTACTACTTTGAGTCTCGCATTCAGAGGTTGAGGAAGCTGGTCTGCTCCATGCATATTGAGCAATTAGTTCCTATGGTTTATGTTTCTGCAGATGTTTTCTGACAGGATTTGATCACAAATGCAGTTAACCATGAAAAATGATTTTCTTTTACCTCTGTTTAAGCCTCAAGCATTTTTCTTGTGGCTAAGTAACCTTAGTTTCTTTGGTTTCTCTGAAATGCCTGGACCTGAATAGCCACATGTAGTAGGTTTTATTTTTGGCTGTGAAGATCATGATTTCCTGATTTTTTTTTTTTTTTGGATGCTAAAAGCCTAGAACTGTCGGCTAGATTGTAGAATACATGACAGTGCATCTGTAATGATTGAAAGACACTGCAAAACCAGTGGGCAAATTTACAAGCAAATTCTTATATTAAAAAAAAAAACACAAGGAATCCTCTCAAAGCATTTTTTTGTGAAGAAGAAGGCTTCAAAGTTTGAACTGCTCTTTCATTGTTTGCTGTAAACTGCAAACGATCATTGCCAACTCCTTTCTGTGAATTTTGACACGTCACTGTGCCCTTACCGTCATGCACACGTAAGAATTAGGCCAATCATGAGGCGCATAACAAACGTTAACCCGTAAGAAACCTGCCTATCAGAAACCCTCACATATGTCTTTGCGACTCTGCAGGATGTTAGAATTATGAGCTTTTGTGCACTAGTTCGCAAATGGACTAGATACAAATGGTTTAGACGAGTGCATGGGCTGGCTGCAATGTAGGCTAGGCTAAACTGGTTCTTGTATTTTTGCATGGGTATTAAAGTGGCAAATTTCTGCCAGAAGGTTCTTAATCCACAGGTTCTTATTAGTAGGTGTTTACTGTATTTAAATGTTTAATGAAGAACGAAGCATATAAAATAATAAATGGATATGTTGTACATGTACTTAAGTTTTTATCTCAGGTAATTTTTATTTTTCTTTTGTTTCAACTTCATTAGCATACTATACATTACCATACCCAAAAACAAAAGAAATACAAAAAATTACATGAGGTAGAAAATTACAACAGATACATTAAGGTGACTGCATAAAGACATAAATAAGCTATTTTTTTAAATAAAAAGGGTTCAGTATAAATAATTGTTAAATTGTACATAGCTAAAACCCTATCACTCCCAGAGTCAATTATGGATCCATAAAATTTAGTTCTTACTCTTGAGCCCCTGGACGAAACCCCTTTATCAGTACTCTCACATGGTACTATTTGTTTTCAGTATTGGACGAAGTGAAATTTCGACTTCTTCGTTAATAACGTTTTGATTTTGTCAGTGCACTTTTGGAAGTGAAGAGTAAAAACTTTACATACCGCTATGTCATTTCCCGCTGTCTTGCTGGCATAAAGGCAGTATTTGTTATCCCCCTCATGATACCAAAGTCGAAGCTCTCGTGCCACATCATATTCCTTACTCCCCCATGACACGTTTCCACGTGACACGCAAATCTGTGTATAGCCCTCATGACTGAGCCAACTGAGCCAGTCTGCCATTTTGCTTACGAAGAGCACCTCGTCCCCAGGCTCTCATCCTACTGAAAATCGCACTTGCCGCAAGGACTTATGGGCTGCATCTGTTCTCTGAGGCGTTTGTTATTTTCTTACTTGTTTTTATTTTCCATGTGGTGGAAAGAAAACTCTGACAAGATCAACAAAATGCACTTTCAAGGTGACGTTTTTCATTTTCCTCAAAATGCTTAATGTTTGAAAACGATGCTCTGTGCTCAAGTAAAATCATGCTGACAAATACAGGCAAATAGAGAAATTCTCAGTGTGACTGAATGCAGAGGCAAACACTTAAAAAAAGCGTAAACCCGGCACATAAAAATCTGTGACAGGGAATTTTCCCAGCCACGGTTTTCTCTTTTGATTTTTTACAAGTGTGATGTCGCCACCGGGATTACTACTCTCTCTATAACCTGTCGGACCTGCTTCACTTTTTGCAGATTTTCTCTTTTGTAGTTCACTCGTTTTGCCTTACCCAGGCGAAAATAGTCTACGGCGCAAGCGAACCGAAAAATACTGGCTAAGTGTAGGTTATGTTCTCGTCCGATGCTTGCTGTTATAGGAACGGACCGTTAAAACAATTAAATGATGGCCGAGGGATGGGAAAAGCAAAACATTTTATACAGGCCAAAACGCTTGAAAAAATTCAGGTAAACCAGAATGAAAACAAAAAAACCTCCAATTTTCAACCTTCTACAATTAAATGTGATTAAAATGTTCACTGTGTAGTAAAAACTGTTTTTTACCTTACTCTCGGCTATTTTCTTCGAACTCCCGATAACTCGAACCTTTTTTTTATTTCCCTTGAAGGTTCGAGTTATCGGGAGTCGACTGTATTATCAAGTGAAAATAACGGGACAGAGGGGGTAAGGCCCTACAGTCAGTTCAGCCGGCCCGGCTTTAGAAAATGAGAATCATTTCACCAAACGTCATTTTAGGCTGAATTAAACGCTGAAGTTGGTAGAATACATAGTCTACTCTCTTACAGCTGAACCAGCATTCTTTCACTACTTTTAGGTCTCGAACTGGCCGCGCTGCCGCTCTATCTAAAGATCTTTATGAACGTTTTTTGACAACCGTTTACTTTTAATGGAAATAAAAAACAACAACAACGAAGGCAAGACCGCTTAAGCCATAGAAAAACTCGTAATGAAAACTGTCGTTAACACTATACCTTTATCATTTAATCCTCAGAATGCTAGAAATTACGATTCTGAGAATATGGTTTTCAATTTTTTGTGAATGGAAGCATGCCCCAGAGACCCCTAAATTACAGGAAGCCTTACACCCCACCCCCTCCCCCCCTCTCTACTGCCTTTGTCAAATAGCCAGACTAAAATTTATGGAATAAATAAACTCTTAACATTCCTAAGGCCTATCACGTAAAATCACAAGTATTTGCTCATAAAAAGCGGTCTTTACAATATATAACATGCCATCATTAAAAATTTTGGGAAGTAATACAGTAATGCAAATGAAGTGATCACACATAATTTCAATAACCTTCACTGACCAAATTAAAAAGCAATATTAAAAAAGAAAAGAGAAAACTTGGAGTAAAACTGATCCCCTGTTGCAAACTAAAAGACGTTGAATAACTGAACAAAGATTACAATAATAAGTTTGCTCTCAACATTTGGTGTCCATTCGTGCATCATTCATTGTACTTTGACATTATTTTTTATTCTTATTTAAAGATGATATTCCAAAAATTCGTCAACTTTATTTTTAGCAATTTTCGCAAAGCCAAGTGACGAAAATATCCAAACTTGAATTGAGAATTCGTTAATGTAACTTTTATCCACAGAATTCTTTTAACTTTATTCGTTACCAGGATCACAAAAAAATCGCAAATTTTGTATAATCTGGATTGATATGTAATCGAGTTTATTAATAACCTATTGAATAGGACACTCTTACTACAATTGCTTACTGCTACGCAGGTTAAATCATTTATCCTAAAACGTGTCATAGGCAATGTTTATACTTGTCTTCTCTCGATAGTCTATTTCATACCCATGATCTCCTTCATAAAAACATAATTATCAGTGGCGGATCCAAGAGGAGGATCCGGATCCCTCTCCCCACCCGCCTATCAGACCTAAGGCCTGTTTCAGACTGAAATTCTTACATCGTATATCACTTTTAAACTGACTGAAACGCGTGTTGCATTTTGCCACCAAACTAAATTCCAAGGATATTCAAAAATGTAATTGTTTTTGGGTACCCTCCTATGATCCGCCTGTTCGCCTCCGCTCTCAAAGCAGTGGGTACGATCCAACAACGGCGACGTCCATTAAAAGGTCGCTGAAAAATAGCCGCCGCATCCTTTCAAACCATTTCGCGATTATCCCAAGTCGCCACGTTACTAAAAAGAAAGGAATTTATGTTGGAGCTGAAGAAGGGAGCCGCGCCCGAGTTCAGACAAAGATGGTAGAATTTATCGCCTTGCCTTTCCCGTCCTCGAAAAAAAACTTAAATTTGGTCTTTTCACGTCGTAGTCGTGCGGGGACGGCAAAGAAATTTACAAAAACGCGTGATGCACGTGCATTGCTTTTATGACGTTGCCGTTGCCGTCGCCGTCGTAGTTTCGTAACGTCCCTGGTAGCCTGGCAGGCGATGTCCCTAGTATTTCCCGCGGCAACGGCGACCGGCGTTCACAGATTAAGAAACACGTGGTCTTCGTGTCTGCTTTCTCAGCTTTATTTAATTACATAGGAAAGCTGAGTTTACTTACAAATATCTAATGACTTTTACTACACTACTGTCATAAGAAACTCAGTAACAAATGTCTACTCGACCTCGAGGTTTCCGTAACTGGGAACTTCTACACGTATTTAATTGTATATTCCAATGCTTGTAATAAGCGCCATGTCTACACGCCTCTTCAGTCAATATTTTTTATTTTTTACTTTGTGTGTATGACCTCCTTCTTCCGCAGAAGAAAGTAATGTCTGAATAACGTAAAAACGATATTTATAAGCAACGTATCACATCTGTAAAAGTTCTATTTCTTTTTTTTAAAACTAGTTTTTTAGTCAAATTCTCAGTGGTCTTTCAGTCCAAACAAATACCGATGTAACCATCATATAGAACTGAGCAAGCTTAGTTTAGAGAACTGACGTCTGAGCGATCTTCCCCAAGACCTTATTAACTTTTTTTTTTTTAACAAGGCTAATCAGCAAAACAAGCATTTGCTATTACCCCCGTTGGTAAATAAGAAAAATATAATATACAGCTGTAGCGCTTTTGGGCATCATAACTAAATTTTTACACAGAAGATCTCTGCATTTTAACCTGTCGTGAGTAATTTTCTTCTAGTATTAATTATTAATAAATACTTCGTAAACTACATTGTCATTGTCACTATAAACGATTAGACACGACTTCGAGCAGTAAAAAATTACCAATTCAATTCCACTGCGAAAGTTTCACAGACTACTTGATAGACGTTACACAGTTCTTGATAATTCATCGATTATTTCCTCCATAGTTGGTCTCGCTTCAGGATCTGTCTGCAGGCATCGCCGTACCAGGCCTCTCAACACGCGGCTCGTCATCAGCAAAACTTGCTCTTCACGATTTTCAGGATTTGGAAGTTCCCGGATGCACATTTCGCACAATAAAACACCAAAGCTATAAACATCGAGCTGAAGGAAATTAAGAATAAAAAAAGTTAACACTTCCAACACATTTTAAAATAAAATATTAACTGCTGTTGCTACAAAGGTTCTCATTTTTATCCTGTAATCCACTAGTTTATCAGGGATATTACCATGAGTCTACGTACGTACGTGAAAACTTTGATACACCTTTGATAAAGCTTTTTTCCATTGATGCTCAAATAAGGTGACGTCTGAAGACCACATAAAAGTAAAAGGATTCTTTAACTCCGTTACAAAACAGCCTGCGTTGTAACCGACCCAAACATTGTCTTAACCATTGGTATAGCCCGTCTGCGAATTAGTGCACAAAAGCTGGTTCTGATATCCAGCAGAGTCACAAGGATATATGTGAGCGTTTCTGATAGGCAAGTTTGTTACGCGCCTCACGATTGGTCCAATTCTTACGTGTGCGAGACGGTTGGATGCAGGTATGTCGAAAACTGGTAAAGAGCGTTGACAGAAATGAAAGAGCGGTTCGGACGTGAAAGCCTTTTTTCTAAACAGGAAAATACTTTAAGAGAATATTCCTTGACGGCCGGGACGTGTTCGGACACATTCCGACTGGTTCCGGACAATCTTCGATTTTCCAGTGTCTTCTAATCGTTGCAGATGCACTGCCCATCTAAAACAATCACCAACGGCGAAACCGGCCACAGGACCTACAGGACATCAAGCTTCAGTCCAAAGACTAACTTAAACATCAGACACATTCAACCCATCTTTGCGTCGTTTGTCGCCGTTTTATTTGCCTTACGTCAAGGCCACGTCCCTTGTCCGACTTTCACCCAACAGGGCCCTCTCTAATGTTCAAACTAACTCTTATGTCATGTTCACACTATCGTCACGAGCTATGAATCGTGTTTGGCCTGTAAACACGACTAAATTCAAATTGGACTAATCACAAACTGCGTAAGAAACTAGCATATCAAAAACACCTACACATGTCTTTGCGACTCTGCGGGATTGAAACATAGTATTGTACACCAATTCGCAGACGCCTTATACAGGCTGTCTAGAGTGTCTGCGACGCAGGTTACGGCAAAAAGGTTACACACAGGAGTTTCAGTCACACACTCTATCTGTGATATAGTTATTAAAAAGTGGGCCCTAAATCGATGATGACGACCAACCTTGACTGTTTGGTTTGATGTACGTGCTTCAGGCGCACAGTAAATGGCAGCTCCAGGAGCCACTGTCATGGTCTGCTGAACGAAATTAGCAGTGCCATAATCTGATACTTTCCCTCTCCATTGGTCACCCTGTCGCCATAGCAACACATTAGCACTGCTGACATCCCGATGAATAATTGGTGATGGTTTCTTTTGATGAAGGTAGTTCAGGGCGCGAGCTACATCTAGAGAAATGACCCGTATTTCTGTTTCGGAAAGCAGCTGCTGTTCCAACAAAGCTCGCAGACTCATCTCCATGAGCTCGGTAACAAACAGAGGAGTTCCCTCATCATTTGTGGCGCCGATAAACTGTAGCAGACAGGGATGGCGGCAAGCTGAAGCAATATTCATTTCTCTTTCAAATAAAAGCCGGTTGTGAGGAGACAGAATCAGGTCATGGATTTGCTTCACTGCTACAGTACAGCCACAGTAGGTACCTTCATTGACGCTTCCCCAGCCTCCCCTTCCAAGGCAATTATCTGTAATTTGAATTTCATTGCGGGAAATGACCCAGTCACACGTTTCCTGTCGTCGCTGTTCACTTATTCTTCGCTGAGCCAACGAGAGACTTAACTCTAGCTCATTTATTTCCTGGTCTTTTTCTCTCAGCTGTCTTTCTAAGGAGGAATTTTGCTCTTGGGAATTTTCGCGTTGCTGCATTTCCCTCAACTGCCTTTGCAAATTTTCTTCACGCTGTTGCACTTCTCTTAACTGCCTTTGTGAATTTTCTTGTCGTTGCTGTATCTCCGTTAACTGCCTTTGTAAATGTTCTTCGCGTTGCTGCATCTCCCTTTGAGAGTTTTGTTCACGTTGCTGCACTTCTCTTAACTGCCTTTGTGAATGTTCTTCGCGTTGTTGCGTCTCTCTCAACTGCCTTTGTGATTCTACTTCACGTTTCTGCACCTCCCTTAACCGCCTTTGTAACGCCTCCTCACGTTCCTGTATCTCCCTAAATTCCCTCTGTAACTTTTCATTATGCTGCTGTATCTCTCTTGACGTCGTTGGCAAGTCTTGTCTCGTGAATTTTAATGCAGGTAATGAAGCTTGTTCGTTTGCTTCGCATAAGTCGTGCCCTGTAAAGGTTTCCAAAAACACAATGAATCATTCATACGAGAGGAGTGCATTGCAGTTAAAAGTATAGAAAACAATGGGTACAGAAAACCCCTAAAATAATTTGACTGGGAGAGCGTCAGGATTGCAGTAAAGATTCAGAAAACTACAAGAGGATAACAACGACAACAACAAAAAACAAGCAAGACGCTCAAATTGAGCGCGAACTAGGGTTAGTCATAATGGTAGGGATTTGGACAAACGCGGCTGTTATTCTGACTTTAGCCTATGACCAAGACGTTTCGTTCGGATCGAGCGGTGGACCTTAACACCCTCCTCCGCCTCCATTTTCTTGCCTTTTCGCGTCTCTATCATAAATTGCGTTCACGACTGCGAGGATCATTCTTCATTTGATTTCATTTCCGTAGTTATCATATGAATTATGTCGAATACATCTATCACATTCATCTCCCTCGCGGCAACATATGAACACATAACTGACCAGCTCCCAATATCAGTGGTATCATAGCTCAGTTGGTTAGAGCATTAGACCGGTATCGCGAGGTCACAGGTATAAATAACGTTGAAGTCCTGAATTATTTTTTCAGACTTCTTACGCAAGTGCGTAAATTGCGTTCACAACTGCGAGGATTATTCTTCATTTGATTACATTTTGCCTTTGATAAATATGCGGTGTTTGAAAAATTAAACAATGGAAATATTCTTTTCAAGCAAATGTACTGCCCTCTCGCCTCTAATGCTAACTCAGCCCACTGTTTGAAAAAGAAATACTTCTCAATTAAAAGCAAATTTTTAGTTATTCCTTAAACGCGACCAAAACAGGGCGACGGAGACCTTTCATTTTTCATACCAATGGGAGTGAGCAAGGACAAGTGTCTACCATCCCGCGCGTCCGGAATTCTTCGTGAGGCTTGAAAATGTTTTTGTTCTCCTTTTACGGTCCTCTCAAGATACTCTCTTTATTAAACACACCGAAGGTACAGACAACTTTTTTTTAAAAAATGTCATCGACCCGCAGGTTTCGTAACTGATACCGCGACCTTTCTAGCGTTTCAAACGCTCCTGATTGATTAGTACACGATTAAACGGTCAAAATCAGATCAACGTGATCACGCGGGTGCAGGGTCGGGGACGCCACTGATTACCCTTTGTTAAACGGTCGATGCACTTTTCACTTGCAGCACTGAGTCATGTAGATGAGATTGGAAGTTGACCAAGAAATGTCGTGTCAGATGCGTCGCTGCTCTGTAGGCACAGAACAGTTCGAACTCTTATACTCATGTAGCCTTTGTTTTTGTCAGCAGCTCACCTATTTCGCCTTCGAATCGCCGTCAACGCCAGGTTTTTTTAGTCTACTCGTGAATAAACAGCTAGGCGGCCGCGCCTGGAAAAGAGATTGATCGATGGTCTATTGCTCAAGCAGCCTAGCTAGTTTACAGGCAAATATACCATCAATGAACCTCGTTTCCAAGCAAATACAACATAGAATCCACGGTATATTGCTAACATTTTCCAAATTTGGTCAGCACTGGTTGGCTATGAAGAATTAGCCGGGAACTTTGAACCATTCAGAAAAGGCGAAATATTTTGAATGAATAATAATATCCTTTACTTTTTCGAAACTCAGTCTGCTGTCTTGATGAATTGCTAAGTGTAAAAATATCTTATTAAAATGATTTTCAGTCATGCGATAATTATCTTCTATTAACCACGCTTACTCGGGACCGTACTTGGAAAATATAGGCCCTTAATTCGTCATTCTTGTACGAACTACGCTGCGCTCGGTTTGTACTCAGTTTTAAGCCACCGATCCTGGCGTTTGGTTAATAAGAGGTATATCTTGTTTAAATGACATTATATTCAACTGAGATCGTTTGGAGCACCGCAAAGGCAATAATTGATGGTCTCCTGAATTGCATTTTGGCCATGATAATAAGTTGTTCATTGTTTTTTTCTAAAAAGCAGATGGAAATTAATTTAAGGCGAAAGAGGACGAACTCCTTAAAGCGGAATTTGCAGCGAGATGAGGATTCAAACCAGGGGCGCCCAACGAGAATATAGTTCAAAACCACTTAAACATAGCATTGTTAAACGTGTTTTAGTATTTAAATGGTGGATATGGGCATATTTTTACCCCCTATAAATTTTTCATCTGTTCGGATTTCCTAGCTGAAAGTCTAGTGATCCGAAAACTATAGGGATCAAAACTTACCTGTTCGAAAATTTCAGCCAGAAGAAAGGCTCCCGAAAATTCTAGGTGACCTTTTTCGGGTAAAAATCCGTTGAAAATGGGCAATTTCACCATTTTTTTAGATGTTCGAAAATCCTAGGAGAGGCAGGCAAGCAAGAAATTTTACAACAAATGTTACGAAAATTCTAGATCTCAAATCGTCTTCCGAACAGATATTTTTCCGAAAATTGTCGTTGGGTCCCCCTGTCAAACCAACAAACCCTTCACAAAGAGAGCATGCATGGATCTTTTTAAAACTAATCCTACCTGAGAGTCTACCAGGATCATAACCTGTTGACCTATCTGGTGAAGTTGTATCTTTGTCAGCATCTTGATCAAAGTCTTTCTCTGGTATAACAGTTTCAATGTAAACAAAACTTGCATAATCCTTCTTACATACAAAGAGTTGCTTTCCTTTAAATTTGCCAGTTCCATCTCCACGCCTCTCATCCTAATAAAATTAGAGCACAGAGAAAAGCACAACTACACATCTCAGTTCCACCGTATAGTTACTTCACACGTTATAAAACTGTGATTTTACAAAAACTAGGAGTTTCGATTTGAAAGTATTGGTAAGTGCTGGCGTCAAAGCTGGAAGAAAATACGGAGAGTACAGTTTGAAACTTAATAAAATGAAGAAAATGACCCCTGAGAATTAGGGTAGTAAATACCCTTTACAAAGAAAAATATGTTATTTCCGTGTATTTGAGATCAATAAAAGAGGAGAACCCTTCGAGTAAACTTCCATAGTGCAAGCAAATGATTTCTTGAGGCCTGAGTTTTTAGTAATTGCTTGTTTATATTTTTTAGATATCTTTATTTGCCCATGGAAGACCCGTCATGGAAATAACTTCATCGATGTCCTGAACGATTAAGTAATGAATCCCGAGGAAGACACGATATTTTTATGTCTTTTGCTGCTCTACTATGTCAACATTTTTGCCGATTCGCAAATGGAGAAGCGAAGATATCGACGCATGGATATTAACGGGTTTAATGTGGTGCTCGAGAAGTTTTCTTTTGACTTGACGGTTCAAAAACAATTGAACTCGACGGTGGCCTACGCTTAGCAAAGCGACAGTCTAATAATTGCCAACGAGCAAACCGAGCGAAGACGGTCGGCTTGCGAGGCGGCCAGCTTAATACCACGTGAAGTATTGCAGCAGGCAAAAAAATTCTCGATCGTGCGGCTGTGTTTAAAAGTGGGGCGGGGACGTGTGGGACGGGGACGCGGGACGTTAAATACGTATACAGAGATGCGGGGGATGTGAATGATTATTGCAAAAGTCAGAGGTAAATGCGATATCAGTCACTTTCCTCGTGAATATGTTTGGTAACGCAGCTCACCCTATCCTCCTGATGGTTCCAATATTCCAGCAAGGAGACTTAGACATTGGTTTCACTTCTTTAACGCAGGGGGTCTTCACCACGTTACTCGTCATGGCGGATTTCCAAGGTAAGGCTATGCTACGTTTGTCTTGATTATGACCAAAATCCTAACACATCCTTGCTTGAATCTTGTAAACTAACAATGTCGACATATCTTTTTCAAAATCTGAGTACAAAGACTACAATATAACGCTCGGTTTGGCAAAAGACATTTCTGAATCTAAACTTCTGTATATTATATTCGGGGATGTGCAAGGGTTGCGGGATTATCAAAGCAAAAGCAGTAAAAGCTTACAGTCGCAATCCTCGATCCTCCATGACTGTTACGAAGTGAAGACTCGTTGAAGACCCCCTGCATTGAAGAAAGTGAAACTACTGCACTGGTCTTCTTGCCGAAGGAATATTGGTGTCCTAAGCAGGGTAGGTTGGGTTGCGGTCGCTAAAATTTATACAGAATAACAGCATTCGATTCCAAATAAATAAAAAAAGGAGACTAAATTAAGTGGCATTAGCGAGCTTCGAACCCCGAGGTGCTAGCTCCGAAATCCATCGCTTGTACCACTACACCACGGGGGATTCAACTATTGTAACAATATTTTATTTTGTTTTACATATTTTTAGTGGCAAACCTAACAGTAAATGCTTGTTAACAGTGCTTACCTCTAATCACGATAAGTCAGTGCGCTTACTCCTACATAAGGAAATATTTTGTGTAAACATCATAAGGTGTCCAATGCGGTTCTGGACGATGGAATCTAATGTTGACAATAAATAACACATTTTCACGAAGAAAGAGATATCGCATTTAACTCTGACTTTTGCAATAATCATTAAACGTCCCCCGCGTCCCTGTATTTGACGTCCCCGTATCCCTGTATTTAACGTCCCGCGTCCCCGTCCAACACGTCCCCGCGTTCCATACTTGATGTCCCCAAGTCCTTCGTCTCGCGTCTCCAAGTCCCCACACACGCGTCCCAATGTCCCCGTCCTCTTGTCCCCGTCCTACTTTTATACACAGCCCGATCGTGCTGTGAAAAGTGTAATGTAAGGTGTAGATTCCCTGGGGATTTTAGTGATCCTATGTGGTAAACAAACGAACCTTCAAAGTTCGGACATTGTTCTCTGCCACACTACTGTACTTGTACGAACTCCAACTCGCTATTTCAAGTTCGCGCTAACCTATAAATGTTATTTCTCTATCGCTGTTTGAAACTCGAAAAGTTTCGATTTGAAAGTATTGGTAAGTGCTGGCGTCAAAGCTGGAAGAAAATACGGAGAGTACAGTTTGAAACTTAATAAAATGAAGAAAATGACCCCTGAGAATTAGCAGCTAAAATGGTTTTATAAACATTGGAACTAA